AAATAATAAAACACATTTAAATCACTCAAAATATGCACTTATCAACATGTACACACACACACATATATGTATATAAATATGTATGTATATGTATATGTATATGCATATGTGTATGTGTATATCCATATATGTGTGTACACACACACATATATATGCAGGGCATATTCAATTGTGAGCTGAAGTACCATTATCTTGATTCTGCTGCCTTCTTCATTCTGCCTCCACCAAACTAATCTCTACTCTTCAAACAGGAACAAGCAAATACCAATCTTCAAACAAACAACCAATATTACTACTATTTTTTAATTTCTTCTCTTTGTTGTCTTAATCACTTCTTGAAACAACCATGGCTGGGTATATTTCCAACAAGGAATTTGTGGTTGAGGGTGAGAATATTATGGTTGATTTTTCATGCAGAGCTACTATAAAGGAAATTGGGCAGAGTTCTATTGTGACAATAGTTTGGAAATTGTTACTTCTTGAACAATATGGCTTTATGCTTGTTTAAAACCCTAAAAATACTTGCAAAGTTGACAAACCCTCTGATCACCAAATGGAAAATAGCCAGGGGAGGAACAATGTAGACTTCCTCAGGTAAATCACCATGGTGAAAAGCATTATTCACACCAACTTCCCAGTTGTTAGCCATGGCAATAGCCATCAAGCATTACATTGTATTTAACTTTATCACAGGTGAGAATGTCAGAGTGTAATCCAAGCCCTCCTCCTAAGTATATTCTTTGGCCACTAAGAGAGCTTTATAGTGCTCCACACCTCCATTTGACTTGTATTTAATTTTATATATCTATCTACAACTGATTGCTTTCTTTCCTAATAGCAAGAATGCAAGGTCTCATGTTTGATTCGCAGCTAAGGCATCAAATTCAGTTTGCATAGCAACTTTCCACTTTTCATCTTGATTAACCTTAGATTAAGTAGCAGACTGTGGCTCGGTTAATAAAGTTACAAGGAAAGCTCGATAGGAAGAAGAAAAATGTGATTGAAAAGATAGGATTCAAGAGTATAGGTTGTACCTGACGATCTAAAATGGAAACTAAATTAAAGGGGCAAAAGTTATGGGAAGATCAGCCTGCAAACCTACTCACTAAAGCATTTGATCTTGATCTTTTTTATCAATTATTGCACAAATTTGGCATTTCTTTCCTCCATATTCCAGCCTGAGGGGGCTGTTAGCGTATATCACTTTTATTTTCTCTCCTATAGTTTACTAATTGATTCATGTTGTATATGCTTATACTATATTCCTAAAATTCAGTTTTATATTTCTACACAATTAGGATAAAATTATCATTATATTATAAGATTAGGATAGAATTAGCGTTATATTCTAGTATGTTAGGTGATAAGTGAATAATTTGAATTATACTTTGATGAAATATTTTTTTAGTCACTTTTGGGAAATTATAGGTTGGAACAAAGTCATTTGAGGCTAAAATGTGATTGATAGCCTCTGGGAGTTTTTATATGCTTTAAATCCCTTTTACTTATATTATGTTTATGTTTTTTTGTAGGAAATGGCAACGGGCTTCATTTGGATAAGAAATGAACTTGCATTATGTTGACTAAAGTCCTAAAATTCACAAGGATGATGATTTTCAAGATTAGTTAAAGTCACAAAATCAAGAAAATGAAGAAACTTGTCGGAGAAGAAAGTTGCTAGAATCCCTTCAAGATCTTGCAGGGATTGCAGGAGGGATTCGTGGTAGTGAGTTTTGGCCTTGAGCAAAACTGAAGAAAGAAAACAAGGGATGGATCCCTCTCAAAATTTGCGCCATTTCCATCAGATTGCCAGAGCGATTCCAGTCAACTATCTCTTTATTTTTGTTCAATATGAGTTTATACAATGAATCTTTGTACTTACTCGTTTTGTTTCATACGTTGAGCTAAGTTTCTAAATCTAGGGAGCAGATGAAACTAATGATTCTTTGAATACGAGTTGAATGAGATTTACACTTGTTAGTTCTTATCCATTTATTCACGTTTTATTTCTTATAATTGTTTGATTACCAATTGTCAGTTATTAGTTGTTATTACTCAATGATAATTGGTAATAATAATGGAAAAGGGATAAATGGAACATAAGAAATAGGCTAACCAGAGTAGAGATACACTTAAGTGGATTTTCTTGAATATTTCATGTAGTAAATGAGCTAGTTTTAGAACTTCACCACAAAAGTAGAGGAGTCTAAGACTATTAATGGTCATCCCTTCATGAGAGTGAGTTTTGGTTGCATTTGGAATTAAATCCCTAGTTAGATAAGAGTAGTAACAAGAGGTAAATTCATTCACCTGTATTTTTAGACCATTAGTGGATTCTACAATCTAGATACTTAGTATTTAGTGCATTTTCTCCATTTGCTTTTCTCTACAAGTTTTTTAGTGTAACATAGTAATTAGTGAATTAATTATTTTTTCTTGCTTTTAGTTTGATATTAGTCTAGATAATAGGGAAAGCAAAGGACCTAATACTTGTTAAGTAGCTCCTCATCGGATCGACCTATATATGCCCTAATCTACAAATTCAACTTGTATACTTGAAGAAAATAAGTGCATTTTAGAGTAAAACTTGAGCACATATTTAAAACCTGTTATTAGGTTAGAATTTTGCTATTTGTCTTTCTATATATTCTTTGTTGCATTTCACTCCTAGTCATCGATTAATAAAATACAGCAACATTTTGTCAAATATGGTGCGATTAAATTTAGGTAGGATATAAATAAGTTACAATGGGGTGTAAAATATTTGAAATAACCACCCTGGAAAGTATGGATGAGACTCCGGATCCCAAAATCATGTAGGTTTGTCTCAGCAGCTGGCAATTAATGAATTAATACATTTTGGTAAAATTTGATCAAATATTTAAAGACTGTCATTTAACAGGAATTCGAGCTAAGGAAGAAGCTTTGACAAAGTGAAGAACAAGAATAGGAAAAAATAGCAAGTGAAGAAGAAGTTGAGAGAAGTGGTACTAAATCAAGTTGAAAGACAAAGTTCTTGGTTTTGAATTAACTTTCACCCAGAGCCGCATTAATTGCACGGTGAGAACTACAGACTTTAATTTCTTGTTCTCTGAATTAGCCCTTTGAGTCATGCATGGGCACAACAAATTTGTAGAGCTAATAGTACTTGCCAATCTTTCTCATACAATATTCATTATATATACTCTAATACATTTTCAGACTTTTCCAGCAAATTTTGTGTAGAAGGCAAGACTGAAGGAGAAGAAATTTGTTTCCCTAGTTAGTTTGGATAGCAAGGAGAGGGAGATGCAAATATGAGATGCTGTGGATGATATGATTTTAATGGTGTAAAGAGATGCGATATATCCATGTTTGCTTTTGCTCATGATGATGCTACGAATCTTTTTCACAAAGTCTAAGTGAAAGAGGAGTGCCAATGACTCCAAGAATGAAGATTTGCAATAATCAAGAAGGAAGTAGCGGTTTTAAGCACACGTATATATATAAATGCATTAACATGTTAAGACATGTAAAACACACCCATATGTAAAATGACACATATATGCCTTTCCGCAGTTGGCTATAGTGCGTGTTCCGAGCAGGCTCTCGGAGTGCTCAGATGGAAGTTGGTGTTTTACATTTTGATAGAAAAATGTAAATTGATAGGCAGATTGATAGGAGAGAAAGTGGCAAATTTCACAGGGGTTAAAAATTTCACCAACCATGCGTGGGGTATCCCAAAAATTTGGTGGTAACTGAGCTTGGCCCTAACCTCTTTCAATTCCAGTTTGAAATTGATGATGAATGGGAAAAAGTATTGATGGGAGGTCCATGGGTACTGGACAATCAGGTCCTGGTGATTAAAAATTGGGAAATGGGATGTGAAAGAAAGCCCCAGTTTTTTCGATATACCTACTTATGGGTGCAGGTATGGAATCTCCCTGTTCACTGGCTGTGTAGGACAGTGGGGATTAAGCTAGGAAAACTTTTCAAATCAGTGAGGGAGGTTATAGTTCTACCAAGGAGGGAAAAGAGGGTAGACATATGAAGATAATAGTAGAGGTGGATGTGCAACAACCTCTTCTCAGAGGCACTTTGGTGAAGCTTGAGGGAGTGAATACATGGGTGAATTTAAATATGAGCGATGTCCGGATTTTTGTTATAATTGTGGATAAGTTTGGACACGGTGACAAATTTGCACTGGGGAATGGAAGGAAGGACAGTCCGGTAGGGAAGGTCAATATGGAGCATGGATGAGAGCGGGGAATATGAGCTCCCCATTGAGAGCATACTAAGGGGCCGAGGCTGAGGTAAACAAAGAAGTATGGTGGTAGCAGTGAGTAACAAAGACCCAGGAATTCATGTAGGAACTTCTAGGGAGAAAGGTGTTAGGGTATAGCTGGGACGAGTAGCAATAGGGGTGAGAATGAGAGTAAGAATAGGGAGCAGAATAAGGAAGCTATGGAGAGGAAGTGGAGGGAAATTTTGAGAGAAAAAAAGGAGCTGGATAAAAGTGTGGAAAAAGGTGAAGGGGAGGGGGAAAAACAAGTGAAAAGAAAAGAGCCAATGGAGAATGAAAAGATAGAAATCAGCAAGGTGATTGTGGAATTGGGAAATAGGGAGAGTAAAACGATTGATCATGCTCCAGTGGATATGATGATGGAGACTATTCCAGGGCAGGAGATGTTGGATATTCTTGAAAATGGTGGCATAACAAGTCAAATGAATGAGAGTGGAGTTAAAGATAGCAGATCACCAGTAAATGAGAGAATACAAGGGAAGGGGAAATGGAGAAGAAGCTCACAAATTAAAAGAGCTCCATTACGAAACATTACTGGCAGAGAGCCAGTGTGCTCGTTTGGAGAGAAAACGAAAGTGATGGTGGATAATCAAGTGTTAGATATTATGGAGGAAGATGTGGGTGAAGGCACGAGGTTTAAGCTGGCAAAAAGGGATGAAGGTACTAGTAAACAAGGAGGGGAAATGGAGGCTAGCCCCGCAATGCCTCCACCAGCGCAATGAAGGTGGCGGTGTGGAATTGTCGAGGTGCAGGAGGCCCCTTGACAATTCCCCAATTGAAGGAGGTACTTCACCTCCACTCTCCTAGTATTTAATTTTTGTGTGAAACAAAGAACCAGGAGGCTTTTATGAAACAAGTGCAAAAAAAGTAAAGTTCGAGAATAGTTTTATAGTAAATCCTAAGGGTAGAGCTGGGGGTTAGCTTTATTTTGGAAGGAGGGAGTGGTATTATTGGATGTGCATGGTTTGGATTGGTATATTGCAGCGAAAGTAGTGGACAATGAAACAAATGATAGCCGGTGGTTTGTAGGGGTGTATGAAAGTACGGAGAGTAGAGTTAGGAAACATCAGTGGGAAATAATTGAGGGAAAAAAATGAGAATGGGGTGAGAAATGGGCTGTGATGGGTGACTTTAATGACATTTGCTCTAATGGAGAGAAATGGGGTGGGAATGAAAGATCTGAGGGAAGTTTTAGGGACTTTAAGGGCTTCATTTCTGAGAACGAGTTAGTGGATATTGGGTTTGTAGGGGTTCCATGGACTTGGTGCAATACATGGGAGGGAGGGGGAGGTAAAGGAGAGATTGGATAGATGTTTAAGGAGTGTGGGATGGATGCAAGTCTATGAAAAGGTAACCTGTGAGCATATTGAAACCGAGGCCTCTGATCACTACCTATTAATGGTGGACACAAAACCGCAACAAAGGAGTGGGAAGAGACGATTCTTCTTCGACCAAAGATGGGCGAAAGACAAAGCTACTGTGCCTGTTTTTCGTACAGCGTGGGGAAAAGAACAAAATGGATCCAGGATGTATAAAGTTACCAGAAAGAATTAAGGAGTGTAGAGTAGCATTGATCAAGTGGAACAGAACAGCAAAAGGTAATGCAAAGCTGAAAATCCAGGAAATTAAGGAGCAATTGAAGGTCACAAAAGAAGCGAGGGAGTTGTGCAACAGAGGAGTCATTGCAACCTTGAAGATTCAGCTAAGCAAAGCTTACAGGAAGAAGAGCTATATTGGAGTCAGAAGTCCAGAAGCAGATGGCTCAATGAGGGGGACAAAAACACTACTTTTTTCCATCAAAGTGTCATGGCTAAAAGGAAACGAAACAGAATCAGTGTTCTCCAAAAATCTGATGGGGAATGGTGTAGGAGCGACAAGGAAATTGAGGAGGAAATGTGTAACCACTACAATGAACTTTTCATCTTCAACAATCCAACAGAATTTGAGGATGTGCTACAACGCATACCGTGCACTATTTCCAATCTCATGAATGAACAGTTGATTAAACCTGTGGATGAGGGGGAGATTAAACAGACCATTTTTTCTATGTTCCCTAACAAAGCCCCAGGAGTTGATGGTATGTCCCCGTGTTTCTCTCAATCTTACTGGAGCATAATCAATGTTGACATTGTCCATGGCATTTCTACCTTCTTTCATACGGGCATTCTTCTTAAGACCATCAATGAGACCATCATTTCCTTAGTCCCCAAGGTTGATAACCCTGTGATGCTTGCTAATTTTAGACCTATTAGTCTTTGCAACGTTTTGTATAAAAGCATTTCCAAGATTTTGGCTAATAGACTGAAGAAGGTCCTTAAGCATTGCATTAGTCCATCTCAGTCTGCATTTGTTCTTGGCCAGCAAATTTTAGACAATGTTATCATTGCTCATGAAATTTTACATTTCCTTAAAAGTAAGAGATTTGGTAAGGTAGGCTTCATGACCCTTAAACTTGATATGTCTAAAACCTATGATAGAGTGGAGTGGAAGTTTCTTGTAGAATCATGATGCAAATGGGTTTCTGTCCCACTTTTGTTCATTGGATCATGACCTGCATTTCCATGGTTTCTTACTCTTTTAATTTAAATGGGCAAAAAGTGGGTAGTGTGAAACCTTCCAAAGGGATTAGACAAGGAGATCCCTTATCTCCTTACTTATTTATTATCTGTACTGAAGGGCTTTCAAATCTGATCAAGAAAGTTGTGGATAATAAGCATTTAACTGGAATCAAAATTTGCAAGGACAGTCCTATGGTATCTCATTTATTTTTTGCAGATGAGTCCCTACTGTGTTGTAAAGCAAGTAAAAAAGAAGCTCAAAAGCTCAAGGATGTACTCAAGATTTATGGACAAGCATCTGGACAGGTAGTAAATTTTGATAAATCTGCTATGTTTTTCAGTGGGAATTCTCCCAAGAGAGTTAGAGGGGAAATTAGTAAGGTGCTGGACAATATGAAGGAGATGCATAGTGGCAAATATCTAGGACTTCCGATGACGATTGGGAGAGATAAAAACCAGGAGTTTGGGATTTCTGATGAACAACATTAACAGTAAACTCCAAGGTTGGAAACAAAAATTGCTTAGTCAAGGGGGTAAGGAAGTGTTGATCAAAGCAGTCATCATGGCCATGCCAACGTATATCATGTCCTACTTTAAATTACCCAAGGGTCTGTGTAAGGCTGTTAGTGCTAAGATTGAGAGGTTCTGGTGGGGTGGTGAGGAACAGGAAAAAAAGGTGCATTGGGTTAGATGGAGTAAGGTTTCTGAGGTGAAAGGGAAAGGGGGTATGGGTTTTAGAGACCTGGAAGCCTCCAATTTGGCTATGCTTGCAAAACAAATTTAGAGAATTGTGATCAATCCAAATTTGTTAGTAAGCAAAGTCTTGAAGGCCAGGTATATGAAGGAGGAGAATTGGTTAGGACAACATCCCTCTAACAATGCTTCATGGTGCTGGAAAAGCATGCACAAGGATGGGGGAATTGCTTCAAAAGGGGCTATGGAAGAGGGTGGGAGATGGGAGGTCAGTGAGGATTTGGCATGATAGATGGACACCTAGGTTGGTGGATGGAAAAGTTCACACAGCTAAACCAGTAGGATGTCAACTTGAGTTTGTTAATGAGCTTATAGAGGGAGAGAAGTGGAACATTGATCTTTTGCAGCATTGGTTTCACGTAGATGTCGTGAACCATATAACTAATATTCCACTTAGTTTGTATGACAAGAAAGATAGATTGTTCTGGAACTTCAGTGTGAGAACCCTAAACCTTTCACAATTTATCAGCCTTTAGGTTTATTCTCACTTCCCCTTTTAAGTAAAAATTTGTTAACCAATTGTTTTAAACAAAGGAAGGTTTTGTTATTTCGTGTATTTGTGTGTGAGATATGTATATATGTGTATGTGTTGGAAATGCGGTTGAGCATGGCAATCAAACTCGGAAAAGAGGAAAATTTTTATGGAAATGGGAAAGGGCCAAATCCAGCCACTTCTTGGCTGGATAGCTGGCCAGATTGTTTGGGGGTTTTGAAAATTTTTGGATTCGCCTCTGCCTCAAATCCGGCTGCAAATCCGGCCAGTTCTTGGCCGGATTGCCGGCCGGATTGTTGGACCCTTTTGAAAAAAAATTGATTTTTGCTACTGCCCTGAATCTGGCCAAGAATCCGGCCAGATTCTGGTTGGATTGTGACGTGGCACAGGCGCCATCAACTTTGACCGCATGTTTTCTTCCCTTTTTATACTGTTTTGGGCCAAAATATCTTCATTTCTTTCCCTTGGCCAACCGTGCATCATAGAGAGAAAACAAGAAAGCTCTTCATTTTTCCAACTTCAATTTCTACTCAAATCTTGAGTTTTTACCGTTAGAATTTTAATCTACTCCATACAAGTGCTAGCTATGGGGGAATAGAGGTCTTGGTGGAGTTGGTTTTGGAAGGGAGGCCTTAAGTTTCTATCTTTCTTGAGTTCATAAGGTGAGTTGTTAAGAAATTCTCTTTTTGTTCTAATATTGGTTAGTTAGTGGCTTGTAAAGGTTGGATATGCTATATTGTGGATGATTTCATGGTTTTAGGTCAAGATGGTCCAATTTCTGATTTATTGGGTATTTTCTGATTTTATATGATAGTCATGGATTGGTCTTGGATTGATGGATTAAAATGATGTTAAATGGAACCTTTATACGTTAATTACGGTTGTTTGCGGAAAATTTCCGCTTGTAGGGATAAATTCCGGTTCTAGGGTTTTGAATTTGGGGGTTTTCTAAAGGTGGGCTTTTGAGCTTCTAATTAGCTTTGATTGAAGGATATTGTAACCTAATTGGATGTGTTTTATTGTTTATAAACCGAATTCGTGATTGTGGTTGACTCTTGTAAGGTTGGGTTTTGGATTGTAGGTGAAAGTGAAGTAATTAAGGGGACATGCTGTCCGTTTATTTTATTCTAACGTGAGTGAGTTAAAGTGGTTTTTGAATTGTGTTTTGTGTCAAGTTGGGAGCATTTCATGGAAAACTACTTTGGTACCCTCGAAAGGTGTTCGAGAAGCTATTTTCTATTTGAACTCATATATTTTCGCTTGGTGAATATCATGACCGTTTTACCATTTTAAAACATGATACATCTTCAATTTGAAATTTCAAATGTGTACTTACTCCTTCCTAAAATAAAGAGGTATGAATTAGGGTTTTCTCGGCTACGAGAAAACTACTTTCAAGTGAGATTTTAAGTGTGAAGTTAAGGTATTTTTGTTCTCCTTTTCACATGATTTTCATCAAGACATTTAGTCTATAATATCTACTTGAATATGAGTTGATTTTGAACACATAAACGACCCCGAAACAATATTTCTTAGCCTATCTAGTTGGATTCCGACTTGTCTTTGGTTCAAGTGTTTTCCGTTGGAAATTTTATAACCCTTTTGAGTTTGGTTTTGTGTTTGGTTTATGAAACCCTAGTTATTTCCGTCCACAGGTCCAAATGCCCTCGTTTCACTTTAAAGTCATTGTATACGTTCTACTCATCATTTGTCGGGTTTCTTTGATTTCACCTAATTATTTGTGCTAGATGAACTATAATATTCTTTCCCATTTAATCTTAGGTTTTCTCGGTGACTGAGGGTAATATTCAGAAGGATATTTTGTACGTTGTTTTGAGTGCATAGGTGAGTGTTCCTTGTTTGCTATATTTTTCTTGACTTCATGACTTGTGTTATTGTTTGATAATGTGTTAAGTGTTCTCAATGATTTCCAAAACGAGTTTTCTAGGCGAGTGTGTACTTTATCGCACTCGATCTAAATAAATGTGAAATTTTCAATGATTTAATGATTGAAACGTTACTTGTGCATGATGTAAGTCTTTTGACTGAACTGGGCCCTGCCCTTCGTTACCGATCGACTCGAGTTAGAAGCGGACTCGGTCGGGCGATGTGGTGACCCTGGGTGAACGTATGGTATACTCGAGTATTACCTTGTATTCTGGTGGAGTCTGGCCAACGTCTAGGAGGGGATGAATGAAATGAACGAACGAACGAGGGTTTTACTCACAAAAATGCATTTTCAAATGATTGGAGGAATAAGGGGAATGACAGGAGAACGAACGAATGAACGAATAAATGGCTCCCTGTGAGCCCGTATCCTTTTAATGTATGTGTTATTATTGCTTTCCCTTGTAAATGTTTCTTGAATTACTGATACTCTATGTTTAATGTATTTGATTGCTTGTTTGATTATGTGTTCGGAACCTCACTGAGCTTTTAGCTCATTCCTTTAGTTTTATTTTCCTTAACAGGGGAAGGCGAGCCAGGACGGGAGCTTTGTATAGACTAGCTTAGGCTAGATCCCTGATTTTGTAATGGTTCTCGCCCTAGTGCTTGGCACGGGTTGGATGTATGTAGAATGAGAACCTTTGTACATTTGATGGTGATACTTCCTTTTGAGATAGCAATGTATATAAGTTTCGCTTTAAGTTTTGGATTGTTGTTATACTCTTTCTTGTGGTTCGATTTCGATTTTAATTGAGGGCAGAAGTGAACGACTGAATCCCGCCGAAAGTTGGGCAGACGGTCCGCCGAACCCTTTGATTCACCTTAGGAGAAGGTGGGGCTGTCACATTTAGCAAGTCTGGAATCTACACTGTGAAGACCGGATATATGATTGCTAAGGAGGAAAAGGAAAAAATGAATCAAAGGCTAGCACTTGATCCGGAAACCAGTTGGGAGATAAGAAAGCATACAGTTTGGAAAACATTGTGGACCCTAAACATTAAGCCGAAATTGAAGCATTTTTTATGGAGATGTCTACAAAACGGATTGGCTACTAATGAAGCTCTCTATAAAAGATTTGGAATAGGGAATAAGATTTGTAACTGCTATGGGGAGGACACGGAAACCATTGAACATATCTTCTTCAACTGCCCAACAGCGCAAGTAATATGGAAGATTGCACCTGTACAGTGGGAAAGGGCTGGCTAAACTTCAAGCAACCTGTGGAGATGGTGGGAAGCTGTGTTGCAAGCAGCAAAAGAGACTCAAGGTGTGGGCAGAATCCAGCTTACAGCAAACATCTTATGGCAAATCTGGAAAGCAAGGAACAAGTTTACTTTCCAGTGTGAGATAGCTGATGCAAAAGTAATTGTAGACAAGGCACAATAGGAATGGATCGAGTATGAGGCAGCTAAGGAGTCAGACACAGGGACAAATTTTGCACCAGAAAAGGCAACACCAGTCCAGCAGCGTTGGGAACCTCCTAAGGAAGGAACAATAAGGATCAATACGGACGCTGCTATCTCGACTGAAATAGTCAGATCAGGTCTTGGGATCATTGCAAGGAACTGGCGCGGAGAATTAGTGAGAGCGAAAGGAATCACTGCAAGGAGGAAAGGAATTGCAGCCACTGAAGAAGCTCTAGCAATCTGAGGGGTGCTCGAAATGGCTCAGTTTGCAGGATGGACAAATATAGAAGTCCAATCTGACTGCAACATGTAGTGAGCCTCATCAACACGGACAATGTCCAGAAATGTAGTCTTCAAACAATCCTGGAAGACATTGACATTCAGAAGAAAAATTTTGAAAGCTGCGTCTTCACTTTTGTACCTAGAATGGTGAATCAATGTAGCCATGAATTAGCTCAATTTGCAGCATAGGCAACTAGAAGCTTTGAATGGGAAGGTTCTTTCCCAATTTGGCTTTCAAGGCTAGTTAGAAAGGATATGGGGGTAGTTACCTCTTTTTGTAATTAACTCTTGTAATTTCAAGTGTTGATATATATATATATATATATATATATATATATATATATATATATATATATATATATATATATATTAGATTATCGTTTGTCAAAAAAAAAAAGAAAAGAAAAATGATTCGGGAGGGTTAAAATTTTATTTGGAGTTCGATCTGGGCATCATACAAAACGTCAATTGGCATCTATATGTGGTGTCCTTAGTGTCTGCAGTAGGGTGCACTTCTTCTGTTGGTTCAAATTTTTTAGGGTGCCGAGCATGCCCATTAGGGAGAGTTGAGATGCTTGACTTGTCAAGGCTATAGGAACACATTCAAT